ATTTCTGGAATAATAACGGTTTGCTTTACAGTACATTTGTGGACTCATTAATGGATCTTATGTGTAGTGCTATTATGAATATTTGTCTTTATCTTATCGAGAAGTCTGACACTGTTAATTATCCAAGAGGAAGGCATCGGTAACCACTTTTTCTACAACTGTTCAAAAGTAACTACTATAATGGTTCAGACCCATGAGTTTGGTAATGAAGTTTTCGAGTAGGAACTGTGCGCTAATTCTTGATCGCTAAGCCAATATAACATTGATAAAATTGAAAATGAACTATATCGTAACTACCTCTTGAGAATGGCATGGAATTAATGGCAGATAAGCATATTCAGCTTTTCAAAAAAATGCTTACGATTTTGTAAAAATTCACTAAAATTCACTAAAATTTTCTATTCTCTTCATAGTTTAGAGTGGAATTATCGTATGGAGTTGGCCATGGCAAACGCAGCAAAACCCCCTCCAAGAAATTTTTCTGCGACCGCTACGGTTAGCTGGTGATAGCATGAGAACGTTGAATTTTTCAAATAGATTCTGCCAATTACCAAACCTTGTAAAGAGAACGGGCTTTATCCGAGGTTCCTCAAAGTCTGTTTCTTATCTTACCAAGACGGTAGCCTAAAATTGCTTTTATTTGCGGTAGTCGTGCTTTCGATAACGGACGTCAAGTCTAGTATAATGAGAAATTGGAATAAATTTAATTTTTGCTTCACCTATTAGCCTTTCATTTTGGTTAACAGTTCCTCAACTTTCTGATATAACACAGTAGTTGCAATCCTTTGAAACAGAATTTCTCTTTTTTCGAATCATCGCAGCTCTCCCTCCAAAAAGTGAGAGAGAAATAATCAAAATGATGCAATCTTTCCAATCGAACATAATTAACGTTTTGATACATCTTATTTAGGCTCGAATATGTCGGAATAATGATGTGCGCAAGTTTGATGGCGTTCGCAAACTTGTCTATGGCTTTACAGGCGTTCAATAATATTGAAGACGAATCTGTAAGATTTTTAAAAAAATTTTAGTCATAGAACTTTGCTTAATTTCTTCCTGTGACGACTACAGAGTAAGCCTGAAATGACATTGCCA